AGTGGGAGTGGATAGAATTCGCCTGAGCTTATCTAATTAGGGACAAAACTACCTTTCTACCAAAAAATTAATATTCACAAAATTCTCTCTAACTAAAAATGACAGCAAATTAACAATTATCTGTGGTCTACTGAACATTTACGAGATTGAAGAGCCATAATTATGAGATTGTTCAGCAATTATCTGAACAAACATGAGATTGAAGAGCCATAATTATATTTCAGTAATGCACAATTATTCAATCTCATAATTCGTTTATGAGATTGTTCAATCTCATAAATGATAGCAAACAAATTTTTTGTACAATTATTACAGAATATTCTATATTACCCATATTCATCAGGAACAACTATGAGATTTTCATCTTCGTTTTTGACCCAATAGATAAGGAGTAATTTTTTGAGAAAAATATCACATAAAGGCCACATGGAAGACAGATTGAAGAATATCATAGAAATCGATCTGCAGATGAAGCCAAAATTCGCATCAATTGAAGAGTTTGAATTAGATTTGGACCAATTAAACAAATGCAACAAAAAGGAGGGAATGAATAATTTTGGAGAAAAAAATTTAAAATTTTGGGAGGCAAAGAAGAGTGGTAGACGGCAAAATTTAGAGAGGGAATGACAAATTTTGGAGGAAAACCTTGGAGGCAAAGACAGAGTTAACTTACGTGGGTGTTGAGGGATTTTTAATTTTGGATTTTTTTAACCAAAAAAAAAAAAAGTATTTTATCTTTTTATCTTCAAATATATATTTTGTGGGGAATAAAATTAAAAACAGTAATTGAAAATTTTTCTTTAATTATTAGCTTACAAATATGTTTGATATTTTTATCGGCAAAAGATATATTTTTCCCATCAAATTATTTATCAGGAAAAAATAATATTTTTGTGGGCACAAGTCCTTCTAATATTAAAAAACTTGAAGCAAATCATGGCCCAACAAAACATCAATTTTGTGCGAAAAAATGAATTTCTCCTACAAATTTCAATTTGTCAATGAAAATTATGTAAGTAAAAGATGGATTTCTTGTAGTGAGAATATCTATGAATTTAAAAGGTAAAAATTTTTAAGCACTTCAACAGACTCTTTATCTTTTATACTTAATTTTTTTCTACTCCTAAAAATATAGATTATGTTTTCATATATTTTTTTTTTCAATAGCTTTCCTTCAAATTATTATATTATTTTTCTCCATTGAAAATCAAAATACTCCGAATACATTTAATTATAGAGGAGCGGGTTTGGCTATTCAAATTTGAAGACCAAACTCACTTTCTATTTTAAAGTATTAATTTGAAGAATTTCTTGAAACGTAATTACTCTTTAAAATAGAGATTATTTTATGTTTAAATACCTTCTTGGCAATGCTATGAGTCACAATTCTCCATCTCTTTAGCATACAATAAAAAGAAACGTATTGTCCCCTCGAAGCATAATTCAGTGGTGCAAAGAAAAGAAGTAAGGTGGTCTCAACCTTGTTGGCAGTCGCAGTGTGAGGGTTCGATTTTTGAGATATGGAATTGAACTTTTCGTGGGCACCAGTATACAAGTAAGCTCTTGTTTTTTTGTCTGTTGTGAATACTTTAGGCGGAGGTTGGTGGGGGCTAGGTTCAACCTCTACTAAAAGAAACGTATCCATTCACCAAAGTCGTCCTTCTGTCTTTTCCATTTTTTTGTACAATTCTCAATTCCCAAATCTACACAAGAAGAAGATAAGGAGTAAAATATCTGTACAGGGTTTTTAGCCGATGAACCCTAAATTTAGCACTTCAGGTCAGTCTATTCTTGTGATGATATATAGATATTATGCTCTGTAATGTCGGCTTTGTTGTATTACATTATTCCTTTCTCCAGTGCTTCCTCGTAAGAACGCAAGATTATTATGGAACCTAAATTTCTGATTTCTTCGCATAAAAATTTGCCATCAATTGGCCCTTTACCATTTTTTCTCTCCTATAAACCATCTTTACTTCGAAAAGATAAGTTGTTTTTAGAGAACCCTATCTCTGTTTCCTCTGTAAAGACATCATTTTTGGGTGAAAGGCTGGTTTTTGAGCAAAATAACTTATCTTTGGGGAATTTGAGGAGAACCCATCTGCGTGTTCCTTTAATAAGTGCGGGTGCTGTTAAGAGGAGGAAAGAGCTTCCTTTGGATAATGTAATTCAAAAGGATAAGAAGCTCAAGTTGGCTTTAAAAATTAGGAAGATTTTAGTGAGCCAGCCGAATAGGATTATGGCCCTTCGCGATTTGGGTAGGTGGAGAAAAGCGTTGGGCCTGCAGAAAAGGAGGCGATTTATTGCTTTGTTGAGGAAATTTCCGTCTGTGTTTGAAATTGTGGAAGAAGGTGTATATTCACTTCAGTTTAAGTTGACTCCAGAAGCCGAGAGGCTTTATCTCGAGGAGTTGAAGGTTAGGAATGAAATGGAGGATTTGTTAGTTATTAAGCTAAGGAAATTGTTGATGATGTCAATTGAGAAACGGATTCTTTTGGAGAAGATTGCCCATTTGATGACTGATCTTGGTCTTCCATTGGAATTTCGTGACACTATTTGTCACCGATACCCCCAGTATTTCAAGGTTGTTGCGACTGAACGAGGACCAGCTTTAGAGTTAACTCACTGGGACCCTGAGCTTGCTGTCTCTGCTGCGGAGCTTCAAGAAGAAGAGAATAAGGAAAGAGAGATGGAAGAGAGAGATTTGATTATTGATCGGCCCCCCAGGTTCAATAGAGTAAAGCTACCAAAGGGGCTTAATCTTTCGAAAGGCGAGATGAGAAGGATTTCTCAATTTAGAGATATGCCTTATATATCACCTTACTCTGATTTTTCAGAATTGAGGTCCGGTACTCTAGAGAAAGAAAAGCATGCTTGCGGTGTTGTTCACGAGATCTTGAGCCTCACTGTCGAGAAGAGAACACTTGTTGATCATTTAACACATTTTCGAGAGGAATTCAGATTTTCTCAACAGCTTCGGGGGATGTTGATAAGGCATCCGGATATGTTCTATGTTTCTCTGAAAGGGGATAGGGATTCAGTTTTCCTCCGCGAAGCATATCGTGATTCTCAGTTGATAGAAAAAGACAAGTTGTTGCTTATTAAGGAGAGGCTCCGCACACTTGTTAATGTTCCACGGTTCCCGAGGAGAAATGCTCCGAATACTGATTCAGATGAAGCAGCAGATAAGGAGGCTGATGAAGGAACTGGTGAAGACGATGAAGATGAATGGTCAGACATTGATAATTTAGGAAGCGATGGATTTGACGACGACGACGACGACGAAGATTACGAGGACGATTGGAACGATGAAGAAGATGATATGCCCCCAGACTTCAGTGATGATGATGCTACTGTGAATTTAGAATTGAGCAAACCAGAGAAACAAGTGAATGGGTCAAAGACAAGCAATGAGAAGGTTCTTGCTCCTGTGTTTCCCGATGGCCGGCCAAGAGAACGCTGGTGAATACATAGATTTACTTTGTCATTGAAAGTTAAAACACAAGGGGAATTAATTCGCCATAATTTTACAGTTGATATTATTGGATTTTCACGAGATTGTACTATGTGAAAGACCATATGCATTTTCTTGCTCTCACAGCTCCTGTATTCCTCAGAAAATCTTCGTTGTGGATTTGTGTTGGACATTCAATATCGTACCCAGTAATAGGAACAGTAGTAGTAGATGTTTTATCTTGTTTACTAGGTGTATTGTGATTTATTTCTCTTCCATACAGAATAGTGTTCTTGTTTCTTTATACCATTTTCAGATTGGCCTCTGCTGGTAGAATCATGCAAGAACTAGTATTTTCCTACAGCCTGGTGAATTTTGGAGCATATTAGGATTTGTAAAACAGGGAAGGCTAGCTGATTGATGGGCTCTCTGTGGTTTACCCAGGAATCTGAGGATATCAACAAATTGTCAAGTGCTCAAGTGTTTGAGCTTGGGATTTATCCTGCTGAAAGAAGAAGATTATGATTGAGGGGCTAATTAATGAAGGCTTCGTATATTTTGATAGCGAAAGACAGATTATTGTTCTGTCTGCACAATATTATTCTTGTATGTTTAGTCTTCTTGGAGGAGGTGGATACCTCAAAGAAACACAATATTTCGCTTTTAACATAATGCCAATGGAATCTGATGCTAAATTCTGGGCTGGTTCTTTTTGGATTACAATGAATCCACGCCATTATCCATATAAAACTGCACAATTTCTTGCTGGTGAACCTGTATCAAGTTTCAAATTGATAGGATGATGAAGATCATCTCGAAAAATTTGAATTGCCACAAGAACTCACTATCACAGTATCACTTCGTTTTTGACTTGAGCATTTGGATGTCTTTTTCTGAACAAAATGCGAAATCTTGTCTTATGCTAGTTGTGATTTCAGATCCAGGGTCTCTGGGTCGAAAATTCAGAACTTGACAAGAATCCAGATGTTATAGATTACTTCAAAAAGACCTCTATGGGATAAGATGCATTCATTCAAGGTGCAGGCTCTATTATTTTAACCTTTTTTCGTATAAATCTGCAAGAGTAGAAATTCAACATTGTTGTCTGAAGATGCAACTAGTAAAGCTTTTCTGCTCTGTTGACACTTTCCGCCTCCTGTTTCCTTGTCACATTTTTTTAGTGCAGACTTGAATGGCATTGCATCAAAACTGTCAAGTTCTATCATGACATGATCTTTACTACTCTTTTGGCTGGGCAGGAATAAACCTTTACAAACAAACAGCACCATAGTCAGCCAAGTTAGAAGCAACTCGTAGGCAAATGGGATAGGTAATATCTAGAAACATTGTTATATATATAACCATCAACACCAAGAGAAATTATACATGACATCTATAGCACTTCGTAGCAATTCTCTTAAACAAGATTCGGTGCCTACACACTTGAAACCAAGCAGAGAAATCCAGCACTTTTCTTTACTGTGGAACTAGTTATGGATATTAATACACAATCTCACTCTCCATACAACAAGAAACTAATATATAACATGCAATAATATTCAGAATCGGTTGATGGATTTCATTGAATCCTGCATTGCCATTCGCATTGAAACTTCGGCCAAAGACTTGAGGTTGCAGTTGATCAGAGCATCCACAAAGTAGCATGTCTCTTCTTTAGTGTTTCCTTCAGGCACATCCACCACAAATGATTCGATAACTAAGGTTCCATGTTTCCCATCAATTATCTCAGGATGAACAGTAATGATTGAAGAGTAATTCTGCAAAATCAACAGAATAAATGCATGGCTTAATTGATAAAAGATAAGCAGGGAAAGAGAAGCTAAAAAATTTTCTACTCATAAAAATTAGAAATATTACCATTTTTAAATTTTTTTATTTTATTTTATTTTTTACAATAAGATAATGTACTTGTAACTATTTTTTACTTAAAAGTAAGATATTCCAAACATGTTTAGAGACTTGGAAGTGTTCCCATAAAAATCCAACGTAATTTAAGCTCTAGTTAGTCATGAAAATGGCAAGATAAAGAAAAGGTAGTTATATTGCTACTACAATTTTTACTTGATACAACAAATTTAATTGCACTTAAACTCATCAATCTTTGCTCATATAGCAATTATTTCTTTAACTTTTTTTAAAGTCAAATTTTTATCCTCAACCCTCCATTAATTAGTTCGTCTCGTCCTTGATGATGATTTATATCAAAATATTTTATTTTTATGCTTTCAAATGAGGGAAAAATATTTTTTCGCACTTTTTATTTATTTATTTTTTTAAAATATGATGGGAAAATAAGTTGTTTTACGCCATTTTGACAGACTTTTGGACGTAAAACTATGATCAAATACAAAATGTGTTAATTAATGAAAAGTTTGATCATAAGAATAATATGAAAAATTGTTAAGGACATAAATGCTATAATAAGCAAAGATTAAGAACTTTAAATGCAATTAAAATGTGGTATAAGAAATAAAAATTGGGGTGTGAATATAATTACCCTAAAGAAAATGCAAGAAATAAGGGAAATAAATTCAAAGACGATAGAAATCACAAATTAGTTCCTTTTCTTAAGGGGTAATAAAGGGAGGATTTCCTAGAGAAAATGAAAAATAAATAAATAAAAGCAAAGTGGATAAAAATGCTAAGTGAAAACTTCTTTTAATTTGTTCCAAACCAATCAAGACCTGTAAATTATACAAAATATTATCAAAATTATAAGAATGATTTTCGATGAAGAGCCACTGGAAGGAAAAATGTTACTTGTACATAATGGAGTTAAATAATGGTTTACATGCCTATGAGGTTTTTTTTTTTTTTTTTTTTTAGTTGAAGAAATTTTGATCCAATCATATCTCATCAAATTATGTGTATGTAAATCATTATATACATGTAGCACAACCGGACTAATCGAGTCAGACATCACCGATTCCATAATGTAAATATTACCTCAAGAACATAAGTATCCTACATGTGAATGGCCCAAAATCCCTACCTTTAGCCTGTGATCACCACCAACAATTTTGACCCCAAGAATATGCTCCTTGTCATCGAGCAGTTCCAACCTCTCCGTGCTGGTTGTGGCAGGAAGTCCTGACTTTACGTTCACCTCTCGAACACTTCCAATCTTTAGATCACCCTGAGTGGAGCACTTGCTAATAAAGGGCTTGTACTTCTGTGGTTGATCAAATCCCCTTACCAATAGCCAAACCTAAAAGAGCTAACATATCAGACTTTTGGATTGTCATAGATCAAAACTTTAAAGTCCAGTTTTTCATAGAAGAAAAACACAAGTTTTTCTTTATGCTTCTATTGCACTCAAAAACTGTCCCCTAATACATCCTTTATCTGGTTACTAGTAGGACTATCAGGACGACCCAACAAGTCTAAATGCACAATATATCCCTTTAATTGAAAAGAATCTGCAATAGAGATGATTACGCTCCTCACCTTCCAACACTCATATTACACTGTATAAGTAAACCACAAAAGATGGAAGAATTAATACAAATTTTAAATATTTTGAAGTGCTCATTTCCTCATTTTTCCTTGACTAAATTTACAAGAATTTCATATAAAAAATTATCAGAAAGAACATCAGCAAAATAAGTTGATAATCTCTTCCTCAAAACTCAGCAACCAGACCTTTGATTTTTTAAGCAATTTTACCAAAGCAGAACCTGAAAATACATCTATCATCAAAGATATTTTCAAAACTTTCAGTTCCTTCACACATAAACTCAAGAGAAGCAATAAAGATGAAGCAACTCCCTAAAATTTAACCTTTAAAACTTAAATTCAAGCTAGAGATTGCAGATCAAAATTGATTTTGCCATCAGCAGCAAGATTACCAAATCAATCCCAAGAAATAGAAAATCCTCATGTTTTCGATGAAAAATGGAAGAACAGAATAGGATCACATCCTTAATTTCTTTCTTCACATTTTCTTCATCATCGAGGAAATTACAAAACTCAAAAAGAAACATGAAAATTCACAAAAAGATCATAAAACCTGTATGAAATCCATATTTAAACACTCTTTAATTAATAATTACAAGAAAAATCCGAATAAATACACAGACGTATGTATACAAAGTGAGGTAAGATTACAATATCGACAGGGGCTTTGATGTGCCTGACAACAGATGAAGAACACTGGTTCCCTTTAGGCTGGTGCTTGTGGTGTCTACTTATGAACTGTGCCTCCATTTTTCTTCAAAAAACCATCAAAAACCTTTACTTTGAAAATTCCCAGAAATTGAAAAGAAAAAACCACAGATTATTTCTTGCTTCTGCAGAGAAAGAAAGACAGAATCTTGAGAGAGAGTGTTATGTCGAATTGACCTTCACTTGCATGTTTATCAAGAAGTGTGCGCGCGCGTGTAACAGTAGAGTTGCACGGACCAATGGGATGAACTAAGCCCCGTAATCTTCTGACTCCTCATTTATTAGGCCCTTGTCTTAACACAGTTGTCTCCTTGATTATTGCTGCTTTGTTTACTAGAAACTAAAAATGAAATTAATGATAGTCTTGATTAGATAACGTCTGGCTAAGTCTATAAAAGGTCAATTTACATTTTTAAGCAACTTTGTTTTCCATTTTTTGAGCATATTTAAGTCCTTGAGCTCCATTAAAATCAAATTTTAGGGAAAAAATGTATTTTGAAATTGTGATTTTTTATAAAATATTTGATTAAAAAAGAAAAAAAATTTGAATTTGCATATAATATTATTTTCTTAAAGAATGTGTAGTTGAAAAAAAAATAAAAAAACATACATTTTGAATAAAATGGAACCCAAATAGGGGCTAAATAACTTTCTTTTTCCTTACTTTAAAATTTTGAAAAAAAAAATGTTACTTTGTTTAGCTTTCATATTCTAACTTTACTAATAAAAATTTATTAATTTTAAAACTTACTTTTTTACTTTTAAGCTCCCTATTTGACTCCATTTAAAACAAAATAATTTATTTTTCGTACTCATTTTTAATCACACATTTATACAATAAAATATTTTACACGTAAATTCAAAATAATTTTCTATTTTTTAACCACGCATCCTTTAAAAATCACTATTTAAAATATTATTTTTACATAAGAATTGCCATCAAACAGTGGCTGGGTAAAATTTTCAAGTCTACCTAAGAGTTATTTATGTATTGAATGGAAAAAGTTAAACCACTCAACGAAATCTTGTCCTTATTTTTTCAAAATATAGCACTTACCTTATAATCAAAGTGATCTTGTCTCCCAATTTTTATTTTTATTTTCACTCGTAAAAGTATCTTCAAAAGATTTTTTAAACATGATATTTTTTCTATTTTAAAAAGTCAATTTTTAAAGTCATGCTCTAAGAGGCTCTTTAAATTAATATACTCTCTCTGTCCCAATTTTATAGGTTGATTTTATTTTTCACACAGATTAAGAAATTGTCTTTAATGTTATTGGAAAATCAATTTTTGTTAAGATCTTTCCTAATTTACCCCTATTTCATTTTTGGTATTCTTTATCGAACACTTTTGATATGTCAAAATCAACCGTACATAGGAGAGTCAAAGAAGGATATATTCGGCCACATTCAAATCCAACGAAACCATATTTATTGGACGGGAACAAGAAAATATGATTGGAATTTTGCCTATCAGTGGTAGGTGAAAGTACCCTCGCATCTACACCTACTTTTGTTATCATGCATAATCAAATTCTTATTGATGAAAAGTGATTTTATACGTCCAAGACATCGCAAAAGTATTATCTCCATTCGGATGAAATGAAGCCCTTTTGCACATGTAAAAGCAAAAGGTTTATTACAAAGATAATGTTTTTGGCTGTCGTTGCTTGTCCACGAGTTGATAGTACTACCTATGAAGAATTCAATGGCAAAATTGGAATATGGCCGTTTGTGTCTAAAGAACTTGTGAAGCGGAGTAGTAAGAATCGTGTAACTGGGACTTTGGAATCGAAGCCTATTGTGTCGGTAACTAAAGATGTGATCCGATCATGTGTGATTGAAAATTTGCTGCCTGCAATCAAACAGAAAATGGCCATGTTCAAGTTCTAGGACCATCTTTATTCAACAAGACAATGCAAAGCCAAATTTCGATGTTAACGACATCAATTTCATAGAAGCTACAAGAAAAGATGGATTCGATATTCATTTATGTTTTCAACCTCTGAACAGTCCCGATATGAATGTCTTAGACCTTGGTTTTTTAAAGCCATTGATTCACTTCAACATCAAGAGGCTCTAACTGCAATTGAGGACTTCATTTTAGTAGTGGAGAATGCTTTTTAGACATTTCCTACAGAAGAGTTGGACAATATGTTTCTGACATCGCAATCATGTAAAATTGAGGTGATGAAAAATTCGTGGGGGTAACAATTATAGGATTCCACATATGAACAAACAAAATTGATGAGAAATGGGCAACTATCGAATTGCATTCAGTTCGAGCCTGGCGTTATATGAATGGCAAAGGTAGCTCTTAATTCAACCAAGTAACTTTAATCAGGTAACTCTGTAGATTAGGCATACGAGCTCTGATTTGGGCCCATAATACGTTTTCAAATAGGGAACGACGAGACGGATCAAACCAACAGCTTTTTTTTGTTGCCTATGATGGATTTTAGCCATCCGAAATCATCGAGGACTAAAAAACAACACTTTTATGTTATGTGTATTTTTTGTCTTTTGCTTTAGTTGCAGCATTTTAGTACTTTGCCCATATCCTAGTGTTTCTGAGATATTGAAATATGTTCAGAACTCATTTTAAGGCTTGGCTTTTGATTTTTGAACGATGTCATTTGGTTGTGTTAGTTGTTTCCCATTGATAGACCTGCATTATTTTTCTTACTCTAGACCATGTAGTCCACACCATCCATGTATAAAATACGTAGCTATAAATTGAACTTACTCAAGACCAAAAATACATGTACTGTAAAAAAAGATGCCTATTTGGTGTTCAACACATCCTTAAGTTGGCATTGAATTGCTGTAAACATTGGTTATGAACATTGGTTATGCACAAGCCTAGTAGAAATTGGATATACTATTTCTAGATATTAGCATCGACTTTATCAGCAAGAGCATCCATCTGGTCCTCTTAGATTTTTGGTAGATAGATTTTGATCATCCGAGAAACAACACGTTGATACTACCGAGAAGCGGAAACGTAATCATCTTCAGTCGGCGGAGCATTCAAATCAAGCAATGGTCTCATCGCTTTCTTCGAGCTGAGATCACTTTGTAAAATTGATGTACATGTATCTTCGATGGAATGTGGATGATTTTTAGAGTTTATACTCGTGATTTGGACAAATACTCACATACGCAGAGAAATTTGATGGCAGTGTGTATGACTGTGTTTTCGTGGAATTTTTTATTAGATGCTAGTGTGAAGATAGAATTGATTTTTATCAATGGCAGAAGACAGAGAATCACAGAGGCATATTTACATGAAGAAACAAAAGAAGTTGAAGAATCACAAATAGAAGAAGAAGACGTGAAATTTCCAAGAAGTAGGAAATTTGTGCATTTGGATGATTTTAATGAGTTGGTATATTAAATGGAGAAAATTGAATAAGAACATATTAGTAAAGTAACAAATCAAAATATTCTAAATGAAGAAACCAACCTATATATTTAGGAGAAATGAAAAAGGAAACTCAACATATATAATTGAGACGGAATAAGTATTAATTTAGAGAGTGAGTTTGCCAACCCACTCTCCATAATTAAATACATTCAAAGTGTTTCAATTTTCAATGTAAAAAATATTAAAATAATTTAAAGAAAAAAACTAGTTAAAATAAAAAGATAGAAAAAAATAATAAATATTTTTCTGGAGTAGTAAAATTAAGTTTTAAATATAAAAAGATATTCGAATACTTTAAAATTTTAACTCTCTAAATTTATAAATGTTCTTCAAAAGATAGAATATATTCTTTAAAAAATAGAGTACCAATATTATATATTATTCAATTTGTTCAAGGATAATATTACTAATTTAAATCTACCATAAAACGTTACCATTCCTTAATGGAATAAGTCTTCTATTTTATTAATGACCCACTTGCTTTGAAGATACAGTACATACAATAATGATTTGAATATAAAAACAAAATCTACCTCTTTTAATATCTCTTTTCTCAATTTGTTTAGAGCAATTCCCTGTAAATAGAGGAGGCAGCTGCCCCCTATAATTGGCTGCCCCAAAAACAGCCCAAAGTGCCCTATATGTGTGACATATCTCATTTGTTTAGTCATAGAAGGGTGCTCTTTATTATAACTCCGACAAAAGAAATTTATGTACATAATTTTTTTTCACAAAAGAAATCCAGAAAACTCACATGACGTGAGATCCATGTGAATTTTATATTGAAAAAATATAACCACCCACTCCATGAACTGTGTTGTCTGTAAGTTCTTTAGCAAACTGTTTTTCGTACATGTAGTGCAATTTGAAATATAAATATTCAATTGTGTTTAATACCTGCAATACCAAAATTTTTAAGTATCCCATATGCGTGCATGCGCTATGAGAGTAACGTGCACTTTTTATATTAAGCAACGATGACATAAATTATTAATTTTCACTCATAATTAACATAAGATGAGCTTCAATGCTATTGGATCATTTGTATGTATAAATATGCAAGAAGATAGACGACAATGATGGACAAGACGAAAGCACCAAAGAGGAAGAATAAAACATACATGTGTATGGATTCAAGTCATTCCCACCATAGTCAAGTAAGCATTTTTAATCAAAGCGTTGCTAAAATTCTGAGTTTTATTTAGAAAAAGGCCTCTTCACAAATTTTAAGATAATATAATTTTTCATTCTAACTCTTCAAAATGATTTTCCTCTTTTTTTTTTTTTTAAAGAAAAATGAAAAGAAAAAAAGTCCCCACCTAATTTTCTTGGCAAAAATTGTATAAATCAATTGTAAAACAAATACTAAAATCAAAATCAAAATCAAAATCAAAATGAAAAGAATATAAAAGAAAAAATATTAAGGGAGAGTAGCCAAGCAGGATAAACAATTCATTGGTGGATCAATACAAAAAAGTTGTTGAGGATGAGAATAAAAAACGTGGATGAGACAGCTACAACATCTCATGGTATTTATTATAATTTATTTTTTCCTTTTTTATTGTGTATTCTAAAGTTGTGGCTTTGGCAAGTTGATGTATTCACTTTAGGAAAATAGGTTCAAATTCTTGAGTGTGATTTTTTGTTTTTGGCCCCTTCTTTGAATGTATAATTATTGCAATCCCTACTTAGAAGGACACTTGGCCCCCTTTATAAGACAAACTTTAAAATTTGAACAAATTTTAACCTATTGAAAGAAGACACTTAACACTTTATGTGACGATGAAAGATAAACGTGCACGTTTGCATGTGCGCGCACGCTGGTCATTCAACATGTTCTTTTATTCTCCTTTTGAGGAAATAAAACATGATTGGTGCCAAATTCAACTTTTAGTTATTGTCCCTTTCTTGGTAGTATTTATTGCAATCTCTACTGTTCCTACTTGGAAAAGACACTTGGTCCTCTATATTAATATGAGCAAAAAAAAAAAAAAATGCAATTTGGGAAAAGAATAATCACATATACAAAGTAGACAATAGGCACTTCATGAAACATTTTTAAATGTGTAAGTGAGTGCATGTGAATGTTCTCGAGCACATATATTTATAAACATGTTTGTATCCCTATTTTTGAGGAAACAAAATGTAATTAGTGTTAAATTGTGGTATTTATGTAATTGACTCAAGAACTTATTTACTTAATTTCATTTGAGCGACGTATTGACAATGGAACTTGAGCAACGGTACGAAACTATTCAAGAAGTGTACTTCTATCGGTGTCTAATTTCTGAAATTGATTTCTTGCTAATTTGATAGAGAGATGTGATTCTTATAGCACTCTAGTGCTTGCACTCCAGTCCTCTACTAGTTCGCTACAATCTTGCTTGTTGTACATATAAGTAGTTGACAAATAAGTGTATCAAATTTCATCTTGAATTCTCATGTTATCAAGAGATAGTTCCTTATCATGCACGGCTAAGAAATTTAAAATATTTTCACCTTTATACTCCAATCTATATAAATTCTTTAGAATTTCACATATCAATTTTCTCCAAATATATATACTTACGCATTTATACCTTGTGATTACGATTTGGTATAATTATAGTAGGTTATGCTATGTATACACTTCCGATGTACACAATACTTTATATTCATGTGTAGGCCCCTTCCATGTGAGGGGGCTGTCAATGTGTGTTTATATGAAAAGTATACACATAGCATAATTCAATTATATTTGACTACGGAGCTTCTTCATTTGATTGATGTATATTCGTCAAGTGTTTATAGACTCATTATGATAGGTTGGTCTAGTAATTAGGAACGACTATTTGAGATAGCCTATGATATTATGACCAATAAGTCAAAAATAGGTTTGTGCCGATATACACGCATATCTATAACATGCAAGTACATGTTACAATTTGATTGGTGGATCTAGTGGGCAGGCATTGTAAGAGCCATCATTAATTTTAACACCAATAACAACCAAGAGGCACTTTCTCATTGGTTGATTGAAGCAAATAATTGGCCAATTGGCATGAGCAATGTAAATGTATTGTCACTATCTTCAACTAATAAAATCTTCTTCCTAAGTGATGCTATGTTAAAAGATAAAGCAAAAAAAAAAATGCTATTCTTTTAAGTTTGTGGGACAAAAGGGAAGTCAAATGGATTCATTATTGTACAAAGAAAAATCAACGAACGTTTCCAATTGAGTATTTTGTTTGGTTAACGTTAGTATCAATCACCTCAAATTATTTCGTCCTTTCTTAAGCATTTTAGTGATTTTTTTGAAGACTTTTGACCAACCATTATTTTGTTATTTTTATATGAGCAATTTGACGAATCGTGTCAAGAAAACATAACTGATTGATTTGAATTAAGTTCAAAAGCAAAAGAGTAAGGGCATTATCAAAGTTCAAAAAATGTTCGACAAAAGCCAGATGTTCCAGCATCGACAAAAAACTCAAAAGAAATTTCATGACTTGCGTTGTGTGCATAATTTTACGATGTGTGAATATATTGCCACCATAAATTATTTTGTTGCAGTATGTTATAATCACACACTAAATAAAATATATTTTACCACAATAATTTATAATTATATTACTAATTCAATTTATAAAAATTTAAAAATTATGATGTACACCTATATTATCATTTTTCCTTTTCTTTACCCTTTCCACTCCCTCTCCCAACGTATTCTAATTATTCTGTCCAAATAAAAGTTTCCCATTCCAAGGATCGTGAATTAAATTATTATAATTATTAATTATATTCGCGTTCCACATGTGTCACAAGAAATATATATAAAGTGAACAATATAAAATAATTATGGCCAGAAAAAACCAAGTATATAGTGAGGAAAAAATAGAATGCCATCTATGATGGAAAAATATATTTAACCTATTTAAAATTGTGGTATAACAAACAAATTTTGTGGTAATAATATAATTATCTTTTGAACTTTAAAAAAAAAAATGAAAAGAAAAGAAAAGAGGTAATTCCAATTTCTGCCTAAAGCAATACGTGTGGAAAAAGACTTTAGAATTATTGGATCACTGTGATAAAAGGAGTGGCATTTCGCCAAGGGACTAACCCAGATTAAACTCAGGCCCAAAGTCTATGCGGCATTCTCCAAGGATTTGTGAAGATCAGAATGTATGGTGACAGAACATTAAAGTACTATAAGATTTTAGTACGTATAACGTAATAATGTAAAAGATTGAATAATAATTAATAAATGAACGAGATTTTAACATTTTTTTCGAAATATTTTTAAGTATCATACAATTTCTAGCTCTATACTTTTTGTAATGTAGAAGCAAGCACGTAAATTGCAAATGCTTTGTATACAGTACATCGCTTATCTTATGTAAATGACAGTGGACAAGCAGAATTTTGTTATACAAAAGATAATTGTTAGTCGAACCCAAAATCATACTAAAAATATGTATACCATGCAGAGTCGGCCTTGAGATTTTGGATGCTCTGTGCAAGATTTTAAAATGGTGCCCCCTTCAAGTAATTAAAACATATATTAAAAAAAATTTCAATAATATGATTCCATTGCAAAAATATGATATTTAAATATTTGTTTTTTGTTTTTACATACATGAACAAGAAAAACATAAATAAAACTCAAAAACATCTCTAGACTTCATTAGAATTCATGTCATCAACAAAGAACCATCAAAGCCACTGGCCTCTTTGTGTAATTCCGTATAAGCAAACCTTGAAAAAATATATATATCAAGTGTAAAGCTTTAAATGCAACAAATCATGTAAAAATATTTCTTCTCGCATTTTTAGAAACAAACTCACTAATTAAACTTTCGTAATCAATATTTTCTAGAAAGTCATGCTCAATAGATATCAAAGCTAATCCATTTAATCGTTCTTGTAACATGGTTGATCGTAAATAAGATTTTAACAACTTTAGTTTTGAAAAACTTCTTTCAGCAGATGCAACAGTAACATACATTGTCAATAATATTCTATAAGCAATACATGTATTTGGAAAGCAATCCAATCTTTTCAAATAAGTCAATATATCAAAAGCCGTCTTTATTTCTTTTGGTAAAAGATTTTGCAAAACTTTTAACTCTTGAAATAAATCTTCTGCATCAAGATCGCAAAAAATTACATGTCTTAAAACAATATCAAGATGATCACAACATACTTTCAAATTAGTATCATCCAATGAGTTTAACTTGTCTGAAGAAAATAGAAATCCAAATTTTTTTTCGTATGAATTGAATTGATCAAACCTTCGTTCAAGTGATCCAATTGCTTGATCTACTATATAAAAGAAATAATTGGTTCTGAAAGAATCTTCAGGTGATTGTGCATCTTCTACAGTAGCATTTTCATCAAAATGTTTCTTCCTACGAATTATATGTTTCATTTGAAATAAAGGATCAATTTTCATTTCAATGGTAATTTGTTTAGCAATATTTATCGCATCATTGAATCCAGATTCCCTATATTTTTAAAAAAATGCAATCGGCCCTTTAAATTCCTCAATAGCAATGTGAATAAGCATATCATTAAATTGCAAGTGTTTACTAATCAAGTTAACATCATATAATATCTCATACCATATGATCATAGCTACTAAAAACTCAAAATTTCCAACATAAAGGGTTGCCAAAGCTTTAGCCCGACACCTTAAATCATTGTCATTTTCAATTTCAGCGACTTCAAGTAAAGCTTCTCTTAATTCAGGAGCTTGGAATCTAATTGCTTTAATAGCTTCAACATGACTTTCCCATCGTGTAGCTGATAGTGGCTTGACATTAGTTTTAACATTGTCTTTCAATATTTTCCATCTCTTTGTAGAATTAGAAAACAGATTATAAATACCTTGTACAGCACCAAAAAAATCTTTTGCTTTAACACAAGAGTTTGCCATATCACACAATGCTAAATTCAGACTATGACATCCACATGATGTATAGAATGCTCTAGGATTTATGTCTAGTAGTTTTTTTTTTGCACACCTTGGTGCTTACCTTTCATGTTACATCCATTATCATATCCTTGTCCTCTTACATCATTAATGTCAAGATTAAGAGTTATTAGAGTATTTTGTAATTCTTCAAAAAGTCCTTGACCTGTTGTATTGTCCACTTTTAAAAATTCAACAAAATATTCATGTATTTTAATTGGATTTCTAGACAAGTCTTCACATCTTAAGATCAAGGACATTTGTTCTTGGTGACTTGTATCCGGAGTACAATCAAGTATCACAGAAAAGTATTTTGCTTCTTTGATTTTCTTAATAATTGTGCTTTTGATTTTAGAAGCCAACGAAACTACCAACTCATTTTGAATTTTATGTGAAAGATAATGATACTGAATTTCATTACTTTCAATACGCCGCATATGTTCCTTCATGATAGGATCCCACTTTGTAATCATTTCAATTAATCCTAAGAAATTCCCGTTACTATCCTCAAGAGGTCTCTCATTGGTTCCACGAAAAGCCAAACAATTTTTAGCTAGGTATTGCACGACATAAATTATTCTTTGCAGTACTTCCTTTCAATGTTGTTTCTCTTTTCTAATTTGTTTTTGAATTTCTATGTCAATCGTTTCATCTTTGTTCAGTCTAGCACGTAAATCAATCCAAGTAGCCATGTTGTTGATATGCACACTACTCATTTCATGTTCTTTAAGCCTGACACCGAGATGTACCCAGTCATTAAATCCTTCATTTATTAACCCATTCTTTTGTAAACCTCTTTTAAATAACTTACAACAAAAACAAAAAACTCTATCAAGATCATTTGAATACACCAACAATGGCCTACACGTTTCTCACCACTTGATAAATAACGAGTGTAATGGCTTGCGGAGAAACATCTAGACAAATTATCTTTTGGACCCTTTTCTAGTGACAGGTCTCTTGTCGGACCATTTGCCACTAGCAAATCTCTATATTTTATATCAAGATTATCCCAAGTTCTTGGATCATAGATGTTGAAGGGAATGGACCTATTATGAATTAAACCATCTACATCTTCATGAGTATCATTTTCTTTAACATATTTATCATCAACATCTTCACTAGTATCATTTTGCTTAGGAAATTCATCATCAACGTTATCATTTTTGTCATTATCAACATTGTTAGGTATATCATTTTCATTTTGTCTCAATTCCTCAATATTTTCATTTTTATCATCAACATTGTCAAGCATATCATGTTCATTTTGTCTCAATTCCTCAACATCTTCATTTTTATCAACTTCAAGTATTTGGTCCACATTTTTAGTTTCTTTAACAATAAATCTATCAATAGCACCTTTTTGAGACTCTATCAACTCTTCAATTTTTCTCTTTTTAGCTCGTTTTCCAAATCCCGATTGTTGTTTTCTAGGATACATTTTAAACTTCGATTTGACAACAACAATAAAAACTATAAAAACATATAATGTTTAAAGGAGATAAAAATAAAATAAAATTAGAAGATAGCACTTGATTAAATATTAAATCAGCAAAATCTTTAGAAGCAATTAAAGTAATTTTGATTCTTCAAAAACCTGTGTATCACCACTAAAACGAGAAGAGAGTAAAAGGAATTTATATTTATATTGAAAAAATATTAAAAAGGAATTTATATTTTCTTGAATATTCAAAGAATTTATTAAAGAAAAAATATGTTGAAACAAAAACTCACTTATAAGTGTTCAACTTCTCCTAGGAAAAATTATGTAGTACTTCCTCGATCGGCAATCGTTGCTTAAAGAAAATATTGAAATTTTTGGAGCCAAATCAAAATGAAAAAGATGATTTTTGAAGAGACAATATATTCTGAAATTTTAATACACAACCTAGAATATCTACATTTTTCAATTTCTGAAGAGAAGTTTCCTTGGAGTTTATTGCTCTTCTCCAAAAAGAAGATTGGAAAAGGAAACGCTCAAATTTTCTTTATTCTCTCACTTCTCGCCGACCAGATCTCCCTTTTGGGTCTTTTATTTTGAGGCCTTGTGTGGTCGCTCAACTAGCGCACTCTCAGGGCCGCCTCTGATACCATGTGGGACTATAAAAAGATTTTCACGGAATGAGATTTTAACATTTTTTTTCGTAATATTTTTAAGTATTATACAATTTCTAGCTCTATACTTTTTGTAATGTAGAAGCACGTAAATTGCAAATGCTTTTTATACAGTACCTCGCTTATCTTATGTAAACGACAATGGATAAGAAGAATTTTGTTATACAAAAGATCGTTGTTAGTCGAACCGAAAATCATACTAAAAAATACGTATACCATGTGGGACTATAAAAAGATTTTCACGGTTAACTATCCTCTTATGTTTGTTTGTGGAACAACAAACCAACTTACCTTTGTGGTACAATCACTACAAACTCATCTAACAATTTGTTGAAGTTTTTGAGAAATGGTAAGATCGCAACATTTTTGCTTCATCGTCACTCCTTTACGTGTTTGTTTCTCTTGCATAAGTATTGGCTATTTATTTACTGCATATAGAAAAAATAAAGAATTTGAAATTCAAGTTTTATTTGCATTAAAGGTCAAGATTACACGTCAAAATAAAGATATCACATATTTTTTTTCTTTAATAATATTTATTATTTGATGCCACAATTATCCAAGTGGACGGCCGTACTAGGTATATTTTTCTTGTTTATTTTCTCATTTTAGGCCAAGAATATTAGTAATAAAGGATTATTCCATAGAAATTACCGATCATAGAGGTTAACAAATTGAAGTGGTTTCTTTTCCAAGGAAATTGGTAAATGTTTCGAGAATTACAAAAAATGTTTAATGTTTTGGTCTCTCACATAGGTCCAAACAATTTGGCAAGTTTATCCCATTTAGCACGGGACTCTCTATTTTGAAAGAACGTATTATATAATTTCGAGAGCATATATAAATTTAAAAAGTAAAAATTTTTAAGTATCCCTACATGCTCTTTGTATTTGGTATAATTCTATTTGTACCTGTTGGGTGACACCCATGACGGAATGAGTTGGCTTTAGTGAATTAAAAAAAAAAAAAAAATTGATTACATTTGAATTGGAAAGAAAGTTATTGGCAATAAAGAATTAAAAAAGTTATATTTTGAATCCACTGTAGACCCGACCTAACCGATTTAAAGGGTCCAATACAAGCAATCAAACCCAGATCATCGTTCCCTTGACTTACAAAACGTAGAAGCGCCAAATACTCCTCTCTTCCCCTAATTTCCCCCCAAAATATGTCTACCTCAGTTGATCACCATTTACTTCGATGCTACCCTCCTTTACGTTGGCACTGAAATTATAATGAATTGTTGACCTTATTCTTGTGTTAATCGAAACGATGGTAGATAAAAATCGGTATTTTTTGATTTTGTCGAAAATGCAATGTGTTGGGATTTGTTAAATACTAGACAAAATTCTAGTTACTGATTGTTAAATATTTTCTGCATGAGTTGTCTCGTAATAATGTGAACATTCAAAATATATATAAGCAAAAGCTCCTGCAATGATATAGGCTTTTATGCGACACTCGTGCGGAAAACTGTTGTTTATTCTGAAAAAATCATTGCATTTTGGACAAAAAAATCTACTAATGCATTGTAGAAGTTGAGAATTTACATTTATTCTGAAAGAATCATTTTTTTTTGGGTTCAAATTTGTGTCATTCATGCTTAGAAGTAGATTCATACCTATCATTTGTTGACTGATGCTAAAATGTTTTATGTAACTTGGAATGAGTATCTTCTCTCAATTACAAATTACTTTACACTATTAGCGTTAACAATGTAACTTTTTTTACGTTGCAGGGAAAGGTATATTGGACAATGTGGATGACATTATTATGATAGAATCCTAGTTTGAGAATGTTGCGGAAAATGTGAACTTATTAGGTGATGACATCGTGGTAAGAGATAATGCGCCTTTTGAGCGCTCGATGTCGGTATGAGTTCAATAACGAAAATGACTTGTTTGATTAGTACAAAAAATATACATATGTCGAAGTTTTTCCAGTCAGAAAAAGAAATTCAAAAAAGGACGACGACGGTATTATGAGATATGTCACATTGACATATAGTCGCGAAGGAAAAAAAAACAGTACTATAAGCGGTTCTTTGAAATCGCAACCAACCATCTGATATAATGTAAAGTGATGTCGACTGCATCTATGAATAGTGGAATATGGAGAATTAACAAAGTAAACCTCGAGCATAATCATAAAACAAGTCCATCAAAGTCCAGGCTATATCGATGCAATAGAAAGTTGAGCGCACATGTTAAACAACAGCTAGAAGTTAATGATATGACAGGAATTCCATTACACAAAAGTTTCAACTCTGCAGAAGTCAAAGCAGGTGGATACGAAAATATGGTGTGCATGAAAAATGATTGTTGAAACTATGTTGAACAAGTTCGGCATCTTAGACTTGGAGTAGGAGACGCCGCAGCAATACAATCCTAATTTTTGAAAATGCAAGCTAGTTGCTCCGGGTTTTATTTTAGTATGGATTTGGATTAAGATTCAAGATTAAAGAATGTGTTTTGGGCAGATAATAGGAGTAGACAGGCTTATAAGGAGTTTGATGATGTTATGACATTTGATATCACGTACCTCACCAATATGTATGACATGTTGTTTGCCTCATTCGTTGGTATTAATCATCATGGACAATCGAACCTGCTCAGATGTGGGCTGGTGTCAAATGAGGATACTGATGCATTTGTTTGGTTATTTAGGATATGGCTGCAGTGTATGCATGGTGAAGCTCCTCAGGGTATAATTACCAATCAAGATAGAGCTATGCATAATGTAATTGAAACGTGTTCCCCTATATTAAGCATAGATAGTGTTTGTGGCATATACTGAAATGATAAATGTTCGATTTTCAGTGTTATTCACAATTTAGTTTATGACTCACAATTTGTTTGAGATTATGAAGAAAATTGGAGGGTAATGATCGACACATATGATTTGCATGATAATGCTTGGTTGTTGAGACTTATGAGAATAGATGTCGGTGGGTTCTGTGCTTTTTCAAAATCACTTTCTAGGCAGGGATGTCGAAAACTCAACACAGTGAGAGTATGAATGCATTCTTCGATGGGTATGTGTATTTGAAGACCTCATTAAAGCAATTCGTCATACAATATAAACGAGCTTTGAGGAATAAAGTCGAGAAGGAGATTTAAGTAGATTTCAAGTCTTTCTCGTAGATGTACCATTGAACGAGATATGAAATGGAGAAACAATTTCAAGCTGTTTATACCATTTCAAAGTTTCGATAAGTTCAAGAAGAGTTCATCGGAAAGCTTTATTGTGACCTAATATCTTCTTTGGAGGGAAGTTTCGGGACAACATATGAGGTATGCGAGAAAGAGATAAACGTTGAGCGATCGAAGAAAAAATATTCTTCATCACTTTTCAGAAAAGAAGATTATGAAAATTGTTTGCAATTGCCACTTATTCAAGTTTCGAGGAATAATATGCAAACATATGATCGCAGCATTGATCCGTAATTGCGTCAAACAAATACCATAGAGGTATATATTACGGAGGTGGCGGAGAGATGTAAGTAGAGCCCATACGAGGGCGTTGTTAACTACGATGGGTTGATGAGCACCTCGGGACAATTGAGGTATGACAAATTGTGTCAGTCTTTCACTACATTGGTGGACCTGGTCGCAAATGATGAAAGTAGAGCTGAAAACACACAAAATTGGATCAAACATGAATGTAAACTGGTAATGGCATCAAAATCCAATGTTGTGAGTAATGTCTTATCTCTGCATAGTCCACCGATAACATCACAATGTGGACCATCATTGGAAACTGTCAATAGTGGATTACATGATCCTAAATGTATAAAGAGAAAGGGTACACCGAAGAAATTTCGTCAGAAGAGCCCGTTGGAATCTAGTTCGAATAAGGCAAAGGTATATTTCATGTTTACATTATCGTTTACTATTTCACGTTTACATTATCGTTTGCGTGTGGGTTTTTTAATTAGTGAATAACTTGTTTGGTTGTCATGCAGGGACGTTCGAGTACATCCAAATGAAATAGGCCCAAGGCATGACCAAGTAATGTTGGCGTTGATGCACACGTCGTTCAAGTACCTGAACAGTTTCAGCATTGCATGAATGCACCGTTAAACATATTTGGAACTCCTAATGGTTAGTACATGTATATGAAGAAGTTATCTCAATAAGAAATTATTTATCACAACAATAAATTTATTTATGTAAGGTGACAACAGAAATCTTGCATTCACACAACAATTTTTTTTTCCTTCGTTCGACATCATGTTCAGTTCGATGGTCAAGGTAATTATGTAGTTAAACATTCTACATACAAAGTGCATCATCCAAATTTTCAAGAATGCCATATTTCTTCCCATGCTTACCGGACTGAGATGGAGGAAACCAATGATTGTACAGTTTTTCAGGCAATTGTTAGATAGTTCGGGGATTATTGCGCAATTGCTAGATGTTTATGCACGACACGAGGAGGTGGAAACCAACTGTTGCTTCAATGGATGCGCACATTTTCCCAGCTTTTGAATGATAGATTCTATCTTGTTTTGTAGTCCTTTGGTTAGCAAGAATTGGACATTATTGACTTTTGTCTATAGCATTTGATGTTATGCATGTTGTAAAACTCCTAAGAATGGTTTAAGAGCAATATGAAATCTTTTTGTATTATTTTTGTTGTGTAAAAGTTTCAAGTGATTGATGAGAAATGAACATGATGCAGGCAGTGTGTTACTCCTTTTACACCTGTTATTGTTATGAGAATAGTTTCTTCAAATGTCAACAGAAACTTTCACTTAAAAAAAGAGGCAGAAAGATAGAGGAAGAAATGTTATTCCTTTGGCCTACTGTTACAATAGAACTAGCATAGGAAAATATCCAATAAACTGAAATTACATTGTACATCAACATCGTACATTAACATTTAAAAAACTGAAATTACATTAACACTTCACAACTTCGTAGACGAAGAAAGTCACATTCTGCATTTGCATTTGCATCGTAGACGAAAAAAGTCACAAAAGAAGTTCATAGACGAATAACTACAAATCATGCCGGGCCCTTTCCTTTCTTATCACATTCTAACTTTGCATTTCCTTTGCGTATTGTCATGATTATCTTCACATCTTTTTCGTTAGTTAATCGACACATCATTTCAAATATGCAAGAGACATTATTCTCTAATCCAGTTGCCAAATGATTATTAGTGGAACTGCCAATGGAACTTGATTTGCGGGATGTTTCATCCTCTTTGACCTACTCTCAAAATCCGCACTTTTTGCTGCAACACTTAAATTTACCTTTGTTGATCATGTTCTATACCACTGCAAAACACTTCACACATATGCAGCTTTATACCACGGGCAATGGACCTTATTTTGACAATCCACAAAGTAACTGCTTCGTCTACAACCATGGCAGACTCCATCGTTCTGTCCTGCCATTATAAGCTGCAAAAACTCCATATCAGTTAATATTATAATTAGTTAAACAGTTTGGTTCCAGTTAATATTATAATCAGACTTCAACTCACAATCCATTGGTAATCTTTTTATTGTATAAGATTAAGACCATTTTATAAATAAATAGAATCATGCAAAGCAATGAAATATTTGTAATTTCTCAACACTTCTGAAAGGTAACAATGATACACTAATCCCATAAGTAAAATTAAGGTAAATTGGTAATTAATAAAAAATAAAATCAACTTGCATCATTGACTTTTTCTATAAGAACCACATTTTGGGGTAAACATCGACATGAATATAGCGTAGATAATCCTCAGATCTCGAGTCATGGACTCCAACATCAGTAACCTGTTCTCCATTGGAATCACAAGAAACCAAAGAGCCATCCTTTGTAATTAGTAACTCTTCACCATCTTTTCTAACCCACGATGGCTTCATAAATCTTCCTCCAAAATCCTAAAAATTAATGTTGAATTTTTAAGTCCAAGACTCCACGGCTCCATATTTCTCCATCACCCATACACAGAAACCATGTTCGGCGCCGGATACATCACATAAAACAAGAGTAAGTGAGTCCTTATAGATAACCAATTCCTTGGTACCTGGAGAACCATCTTTTGCCAGATGAACATGTAATATTGTCTCCCGGAACTCCTCATGGCACATATCAAAACAACAAAATCAAATCATTAGCTTAACTCGTTTCTGATTCAGCTAGTCAATTAATCATATGTCGTCGTAAATATAAATATAAATCTTAATCAATTTCACCATTTCTATAAATATTTACATATTAATCTACCTTCAAATCATATGAACAGGGTTGTAATTAAAAATTCAGATACTGGTTTCTAATTGAAAATTCATAATTACCCAAATTTTTTTCGGAAATCAACAGCTTCGAGATACCCATGTAAACCACGTATCACGCTTATCTAATTTTAGTTGTAGATTCGCCAAAGAAGACTATGGTTGTGGGGATTTGAATGACGAAAACAATGACTGAATGCCTTGACAAAAAAAATGCCAGAATGCCTTGGGTTTCATTGAAGGCGTTGAGTTCTATGTTGAGGTTGGGAGAGATGGAATGGAGAGATGGTGGAGTAGATTGCCTTCGATCCGTCTTTTTAGCCTCGCCTCTTTTAAGGGCTTGTGAGATTGGGAAAATAAGTAACGGGAATGAAAATTGGGTTGGGTTGGGTTGGGTTGGGTTGCCTTAAACGTTTCTTTTCTTTCTTTTTTTCACTTTTCACCTCAGTCTGTCATTTGTTTCTATCAAGAGGTTCTGTACTAGTAGCGGGACTGTTGCATTTGACACTTAATTTTATCACTCCTAAAAAATATTTATTATTTTTCTATATTTTATTTTCATTAGCTTCCCTCTAAATTATTATATTATTTTCTTCCATTAAAATTAAAATATTTTGAATACATTTAATCGTAAAAAGTGGGTTCGAAGGCTCACTATTGTATAATATTAATTTGAAGAGTCTCTTTGAACGTAATTTAAAGGTTGACTTTTTTAAAATAGAAAATGTTGACCCCAAAAAGTGCGCCAACAGATGCCGGTCCCACCCGCGCTTGCGTGGGCGAATGTCCAACACGCTAAGACACGTGGACGGTCTGAAACGAGCGGTTCAAAGGGGCGTGGGAGTAGCCCAACGACGCGGGACGGTGACGTTCGGAATCCGGCGGGTTGTTCGTAATCCGATTGTACGATAATTACCAACCGGTGCTCGTAGATGTATATGTAAAAAAGTATAGACCCGATTTGTGTATTGCAAGTAAATCAGAGAGAGTTGAGTAAATGTGGTTTTTAGTATAGATTCTTGCATTAGCCTTTTACATTATACAATGGGGGTATTTATAGTGATACATATGGAATGGGAGCCCTTGGATGAAGTGGTACGTGGCATCATCTCCTTAGTTCAAATGTCTGTTCTTAGGCATGGGACTTGACTTGCTAGCTTACGGCGCATTTATTGCTTGTGCAGAGCCTCCATGCTAGTGACAAGATTTGACATTTATGCTTATGACAAAAGTTCCATCAATCATTCGAATAAGATCTGTGCAGGAGATCTCTTGGGAGAAGTGACCATGGAGGATGTTTCCCTGTGGTTCAGAGGCTCGCGCATCAGCTTCGGGGCTTCGGCCATTTGTCATGATACTTCCACTTGAGGGCATCAGCTGCTCTCAACAGGTTCCAGCAGCGGCTTCGGTTCGTAGGCCTCGGCGGATGGACTTCGGCTCAGTAGTTCGGATGTAGCCCCACCTCGGTAGGAATGCCACGTGGATCGCCATGAGTGGGCCATTGTCCCAGGTAGGTTGGCCAGGTGTGACAACACGCAACAATAGTCCCCCAAGTCCAAGTATATTCATTTATGTAATGCGTGGACTTTAATGGGGTAAAAAATCGAAAGAATTTTTGAACCCCAAATAATAGTCCTCCAAGTCCAAGTATAGATATTTATATCATGGTTGGAGTTAGAGAAGTGTTGCTGTGGGTGAGCGATGAAGTAAGCGAGGTGTTGATCTTTTGAAGATGAAGCCGAAGTGGTTGAGGAACCGAACCTTCGAGGCTTGAACGCTGACTGATGAAGAAGAAGCCGAGGTGGTTGAGGAACCGATCCTGCGAGATTTGTTGCTGAATGATGAAGAGAAAGCCGAGGTGGTTGAGGAACCGAACCTGTGAGGCTTGTTGCTGAATGATGAAGAAGGAAGCAGAGGTGGTTGAGGAACCGAACCTGCGAGGCTTGTTGCTGAATGATGAAGAGGAAGCCGAGGTGGTTGAGGAACCAAACCTGCGAGGCTTTTTGCTGAATAACGAGGAAAAGCCGAGGTAGTTGAGGAACCGAACCTGCGAGGCTTTTTTGCTGAATGATGAAGAGGAAGTCGAGGTGGTTGAGGAACCGAACCTGCGAGGCTTTTTGCTGAATAACGAGGAGAAGCCGAGGTGGTTGAGGAACCGAACCTGCGAGGCTTTTTACTGAATGATGAAGAGGAAGCCGAGGTGGTTGAGGAACCGAACCAGCGAGGCTTGAGCGCTGAATGGTAATGATTGTGCGTTGGTCGCTGTGCCAATGATTTGATGTTTTGTGTTTGTTTTCGAGAGAAGGTAGCTGAATCGTTACGACTTCCAAGGTGGTGGCGCCGTCGAATTAAAGTGTAATTATGAGGGCAGCTGGCGCTTCTAGAAGCAGACGCGTTGGAGAGGTGCATGGGAGGCAGGCATAGATTGGAGGCATAGGATTTAAAAAACTGTTTGAATTCAACGCCTCGGATTGGATCTGAAATGGAGGGCTCGGATTGACTGAGATTTGATCTGACGGGTGGGGTTCGTCTTGGACCTTTATAAAAGACGAGAAAATTCCAATATCCAGGATTTTTGAACACTTTGCATTCTCAAATTCTCTCAAATCTCCCATTTTCCGGCGTCGAGGTTGTCTGCGATTAGATTCCGACCAGTCTCCGTTTGTGTTGAACTCCTTTAGGTATTGTTTGCATAAAAAACCGTTGTTATTGCCTTAGTTTTAAAAAAAAATGGAGTCCACTTCGGGTAGGGAGCTTGTTACAGTGGCGTCTTTAGATCACGGGGTAGGTCATGGGGGGACGTCCGAGGTGGACAGGTATGCCATGGCCGAGGAGGATATGGATTATACCCAAGAGTGGGGGGCTTCTAGAGTGCCCTCGAACATGACGGGGAAGAGGTTGGGGGAACTTAGGGAAAGGTATAGTGTGCCTCATAACATAGAGATGTTAGTCCCCGAACCGAACGAGCGGGCCTGCTATCCGAGGCCCGGCTACGTGGCCGTGAGTGAATACCTGTTCAAAGCAGGTATGCGTCTTCCTTTGCACCCTTTCTTTAGGGCGGTGCTTAGGAAATTCATGATGTCCCCGACCCAAGTTCTGCCGAACGGGTGGAGCCAGCTGGTCAGCTCCTACTTTCTGTGGAAGGAAGTTTCACTTGGGGAGGACATGCTTCTTCATGTCTTCATGACCCTGTTCCAGCCCCGGGTAATTGGGAAGGAGTCAAGGGGGTGGTATTACCTCACGCCTTGGGGGGCTCACGCACTCTTTGTGGTGGGACTTCCTTCCTCTATTAAGGGATGGAAGGAGTCCTGGTTCTGGGTGCGAGGTAAATGGCAGGCAGTCGAGGGTGACAAAGCCCTGTCATGCACAGTGCCGACCCAGTACTACGAAGCTCGTGAGTCTCCCGACCTCTGCTTGTGTTTTGAAACCAGAATGTTTATTCGTCTAACTGTTGGCGATTCGTCTTTGCAGATAGTAGTACGAGGTTCGAGCTTAGCAGGGAGGAATTCGAGGTGATAGAGGATATTTACAAGAGGCCTCTGAAGCTTCGGCACTTCGATCACCTGATTGATAGAAGCAGATACTTCTTGGACTTCGAGCTGATGGCATCCAGAGGTATGGGGCCCCAACACTTGATGTTTTTATCCTGAATGTTTCTTATGCTGATGCTAATCTATGTTGTGCACACAATTTCAAGAAGAGGGAGTACCCAGCTCCAGACATGGCCTCCATCTTGAAGGCCACTTTTACTGCGAAGGCGAGGCCCCTGAAACCTGGGTCCAGTGGAGCAAAGGAAGTTCGAGGCAGGGTTGAGCGCCTGTCGAAGGACTGTACTCCTAGGGCCTTGGAGGAGGCATCTACTCAGAGGCCAGAGAAACCTAAGGAGCCTCGAGGCAAGGAGAAAGTCTCTGAGGAGACTAAGAAGAGGAAGCTGGTGCACATCTCCAGCTCAGCTGGCAAATTTGGGACTTCAGTGTCCCATAGGGCAGAACAGACCGGTGAGCCGAAGCTCCTTGCTGCAGCCTCTAAGGCCATAAAAATGGAGATGGTGAGAGAGGTGGAGGCCGAAGAGGCCAGAGAAGAAGCTGCAAGGCGAGCTGCAGAAGCCGCCGAAGAGGAGGCGGCGAAGGGGAAGCCGGTTCGGGAGAAGGAGAAGTCTCCAAACTTTCTAGCTGGGAGGGAGGATGAGCTGGCCCCAGCCTTGGTGGAGGCTCTCCCTGAGGAAATTAGAAGTGCCACCGAGAGCTTTTACAAGTTTTGGACGGAGAGGTGGCAGCTTCATGCCTCGTCTTGTGATG